CTAGCTTATTCGTTAGACTTTACTTTTTCTTTTAGAGATTAACATTATTCTCAAACACTTTTGTAAGGATTTCCTCAATTTTAAAACGTTTGAGAATAATGTTAATCTCTAAAACAAAAAATAAAGTGTAACGAATAGGGTAGGAAATAAAAAGATTTATCCAATAAACAGAACTTGTATTAATTAGATAATAAAATCGATAATTCGATTAAAGAAAGAAAAATCGGTAAGAAGAATTGTTACGTCCTGGAGGAGGAACGCAACTTGACGCTTGCTTTCGCAAGTTCCGACGTACTCGCAAGTCTGCGGTGCAGATCAAGGATCGGAATGACCCCTTTATCTGGCGCGGACGTACGTCGGTGGTCCTTTATTTGGGTCAAGAAACTGAATCCTTTTACCTGGGATAGGACCGTGAGCGACGGTTGAGGGAAGGGAGAATTTTTTGGTTGAGAATAATTATTTGGAAACCGTGATTGGCTTACAATTATTGGGTGAGTGCAAAAGTTCGTGCGGAGTTTGTGAGTAAAAGTCACACAGTGATTAGGCAAACAAAAATCTTTATTCAATCAATGATATATTCTCCATCGTTTTCTATAATCTTTTCCCAACGTTCTGGCAGCATACGGATGCCTCGATCATAAAAACTGTGCGGTTTAGATTCGAAGAACGAAGAGACGCCGTTTTTTAAGGCTTCCAAATAGTCAAAGTTTTTTCCATTTAAATAATTTTGCAATGACCGGAACAAGGTCTGTTCTTCTGTTGCAATTCGCGGATTATTGAGCACTAAAGTACGCAAAACATCGTCATCAATGTCAGGAGGTCGACCAGAGCGTGGCTCGTCTTCAAGGTTAAATTCTCCGCGCCGAAATTTAGTAAACCATTTTTCCACAGTTCGTTTAGCTGGTGCTTCATCCTGATAAACATCCTGAATGTTTTTTACGGCTGCGGCAACGTTTATTCCCTTCCGAGACTCGTAAAGCATAACATGCCGTAAATGCACCTTATCGATACTCATTTTTAAAGTGATATTTCTCGAAGCAGTTTGTATGAAAACAAATGATTTTTTTTTAATAACAGCTGAAGACGTCACCTTTCCAACGTTATATAATATGTAGATGGAAGTATTAATGACAACACTTTACGACGCTTATAACTCCATCTATTGAAACTCCGCACGAACTTTTGCACTCACCCAATACAAACAACTTGTTTTATTAGTAATTAGACGGATGTTCACAATGAAATAAAATTTACAAGCTTTTATAATGTGTACGTATATATATATATATATGTATAAATAATCGCGGTTTGAGCAAGGATTCTTGATTATTCCGAACAATATTCCAATAGAGGAAGATCTAGTGACGGAGAGGCACGAGGTGAGGGGGAAGATCGCGATAAGGATACTTCTGAGGGAGAGGGAGAACGAATAGGTATGAGGCCCCGTAGTAAGGCCGCGTGGAAGCCTCGCGTGCCTCCTCGTAGAGGAGAAGTTAGAGGGGAAGATGTCGGGGATGGGCTCCAAGATAGAAGAGAGCTTGAGGCAGAACGGTCGTCTACCGGACTCAAGGATGTTGGAGAGTATGAGATAGGAGAAGTTACTGGGGGAGAGTCAGGAAGGAACATAAGAGGAAAATGCGCAGATCTTAAAATGTTCGATTCGTTATGGCGGATAACGTAATCTGGACGATCTTATAATACAAGTATTAAAGAGGCGCCCTCAAAATCCTCGCGGCTTGTACAGTTTTCCGTGGTGGTTATCTCTGACTGTGATTGAAAAGATTGAGCCACTGAAATCGGATTTAACAACTGAGGAGGGATGCCAAGGGGAATAGGGAGAAAAAGGAAACAGGAGGGCAAAGAAAAGAGAAAAAAAAAGATAAGAGAATAAAAAGAAAGGGGTCACTCTGACAAAGGAAAATATACATAACTTACTGCTGGTTCTATGGTGCGAGTCGACTATGAAAAGTGTAATTGCTGCGTGTTGGTGAGGATGGACCCAAATTGCGCCAAGAACTAGAAACTGGTCTCAGCAGGATCTCTCGCAATGTCTCAAGGATGCACGAAATCGTTGCACAGAAGAATTGACAACTGAAGAACTCTGATCTGCCTCACTAGTAGGGTTGGTTATTAAGAGATCCTGAAGGGGTGTTGAAGAGAAGACTCTGTCCTGGCTGCGGGTCGGTCGGGAGGAGAAGTAGAAGTGATATAGCCTTTTTATTTTATCAAAAACATCACCTCGATCGAGAGGTGGGGTTTGGGAAGTTGCGTCAGGCTCCAAAGTTTATGTCTAAATATGGGTATAGGATTTTGTTGCAAACTTTTCGGAGGTGGGGTTTTAGATAAATATGATAAATATGATAAAGAATAGGGTATCTATGGCAGTAAAAGATTTCAAGGTTCCGCTAGAGTTAGTCAGAGGTTGTACGCGATAAGAATTTATAAATAACATGGGAAAGCATGAGTTTCCGAAGATCAAAGGCTAGTAATATCATATAACAGCCTGAAAGATTGTCTGGTCGGTCCGTCTTCAAAGGAAATTATTGCTCCGAACGGGAAGTTATTTAAGGTTATTTGGAGAGGAGATATATGGCCAAAATGACTCGGCGGATCTTTTCCGACGGAAATAGAGGAAACTCCGGTGATTAAAGCAGAGAGAAAAAGAAAGAGAAATCTGTGTGTGTGACGTCACTGTTCTCGGAGGGTCGCGGAATATGAACATTTGGTCGTATAATATAAAATGCAATCCGCCCTACTTGATCACAAATTCAAAATACGCGGAGTCCGCAGGACGTAACAGAATCAATTATTTTTTCTGTATGAAACAATATCATGTACAAGTAATATGTTCTACTTCAAGTCAAATTCATTGCAATTGATTTGAAATGATTCGAAGGTGAATTTTAGTGCTGTTATAAATTTAGTACATTAGTAATATTTTTTAATATTACATGTGTCTGAAATACAAGTCACGAAATTGCTCCAACCGCTGGCTGGACATCCAATCATAAAATGCTCGATAACTTCGAAACCGCTTATTCAAAGTGAAAAAAATTATAGTGCTTTGAAAAGGTCTGAAGAAGGGCTACAAGAATATACAATAAAAAATAGGGGGCCCTATTTAAAAAATTCAAAATGACCTTGACCTGACCTTGGCGACGCCACCCAAGATCAAACTCATAAATAGATCTTTTGAAACCCTACAATTTTTATTTAAAACATTTTTTTCTAAAATGCTTAGCTTTTGTAATATTTCACCGTCCCAGTACTTTTATACACTCTGTATGTTGACGAAGGAGAAGCAAAATTCCTCTTTTTGCATTTCTCATTTCTAAAAAATAAACTAATCCATCCCAATACAATATATCCTAATATACATGCTTTTTTATAGTTAATTCTATTAATTACTAAAAAAATTGCGATTTTTAGTGAAATAGTACTTCTAAATCTTTACCAAAACTTCTCCTTTGGTTAATAACTTTTTAATAAACAATGACCGCCGAAATTTTTTGCAAATTACTTAGGGATATGTTCTTGATATAACTTATATGAAGTTCAAGGTCAATGGCAAGACGTCTCTTAATATACATAATTACTATAATTTCTATGGTATGATGTTTCACATTCGATGATGTATTAATTATAAGGGAAAACTAAAAAATAAATATAGGAGATAAAATGTAAATCTATACAGCGTGTCGAAGTATAATGAATATCATCATCCGATTATATCGTTGGACAGACTCGCCAATAATGAAAGAATAACTGAACGTATGAGAGAGAACAAATAAAGTAACTGAAATAACTGACTTCTGTAAGAGATAAGTAAAATACGAGCTACAAAAATCATGTTTTCCTTGAAAAGTTCCTAACGACAATTTTTTACTCAATCTTTCTACATATAGGACGTTTGTCTGTTGTGAGAAACTTTTTGAACTGATAACATTCAGTATATAAAATTTGTTCGAAGACAAACTTTATTCATATGTCTGAAAAAAACTATGCACCTCGAATAAGCTAAATAGAAAACTCGAACAGAATTGTGCACTTCGAATAGCAAGTCCTACTCACACATCATATAACAGGAAGAATGATGACATTTGACCTTTATTATACATGTACATAATGCATTATTCTAATGTTATGCGATGTTCTACTTTAGAATACGACAAATAGTAGCGACGAAAATGCAAACGAGACAGAGCGCGGTTGATGGAAGGTTAATACTCACACAGCACACTTTATTTCAGAGACGTCCGATAGACATCATTCTGAGATACTATAATATCTTGGGGATATACAAATGTCCGTTGTTAGATTCTACAGATATCTTACGGATATCCTTTTTAGTAACTTTAGTTCCTTTTCAGAAACTTTTAGTTTCCAAAAGTTATTACTAAAAGATGTATCCGTAGGATATCTATGAGATCTAAAACAACGGATATTTGTATATTCTCAGGAAATTGTTGTAGGACGTCTTTAGGATAATGCGTGTTGTATGCGTAGAGACGAAGAGAGAATGTCAAAGAACAGAAACATAGCACTGGTTGACGACATAAGAAAATTAGAATAAAAAGTTGATATTAATGCATATGATAACAATCACATCAAAAATATCATATCGATACATTCGTGTCTGCCGATAGATTTTACAAATATTTTCGTTCAAATATGGTGATTCATTCAACAACGACTAGTATTCAATCTCAAGATATGTACATACTTGCTGCTTTCAGAACATGATACGAGATGACGTGACGTAATAGTTGAGATTATTACGAAATTCTATTCTGACGAGTTACAAACACGGAAGAAGACAACGAATTTTCCATTTCACATGTATATTAGACATTGCATGCATTTCTCTTACGCGAAATGTTTGCTTGTAGAATAAGATTGTACATTCATTCAACCCTTTGATTCCTTTGATTCTTGTATTTATTTCGATCCGAAGGAGTAGAAAGTATTTTGCATTTTTAATACATTTTTAATACAAACAGATACATTAGCGAGGCGAAAGTATGGAGAATAGCAGAAAGTATAATCCCTACGTGAAAGTTCCACCGGGTGAGGAAATTGTGATCTCCGGTATCGCAGGACGATTTCCCGATACAGATAATATGAAGGAGTTACAAGAAAATCTTTTTAATACTTCGGACCTCGGTTCGGACGATAATCGACGGTGGAGCAACGGTAACGTACAGTCGCCATTCAAATTAAATATTAAGGAGCAAGCAAAAAGAAGAAAAACAATCGACGAACATTCGATATATTATACTCCAATACAAAAAATGAATGTTCAAAATTTTCACAGTCAACTACGACATGCCAACTCGGTCGGGAAAGATTAATAATGTAGACAAGTTCGACGCGCAATACTTTGACATTTCACCTGTGGAAGCGCATGTCACCGATCCCATGTGCAGGTTGTTGCTCGAACACACTTACGAAGCGCTTACTGACGCTGGAGTAAATCCTAAGGAATTACGAGGAACAAAAACCGGTGTCTTCATAGGATCATGTTACTGTGAGACGGCCAACGACATGCTCTATTGCAGGGCTCAAGTACAATATTAGATGATATTAAAGATATGAAAGGAATTTTAGGACGACCGAATATTTCGGAAAAGAAATAATGAAGTAGAAATATTATAAGCAAACGTTATACCTTTGCTTCAAGCACATTTTCTTGCAAAATTCTTGATTACGCTAAATATCCTTGTTTCCGAAATGTTCGTGCCCAGACTTATTAAATACTTATTAAATACCTGACGTAAAAAATTGAAAATGCTACAATTATTAAACATTAAATAGTGTCATATAATTAAACAAGACACTAAAAACAGTTAATACACACTGGCACACACATGGTATGAGATTTTTCTCTGTAATATAACTGAAGAAGCGTATTTTACATAAGCATAAGCGCAAACATATGTACGTAACAAAGAGAAAAATTGGGTAAGAGACAAAGACCAACATGAACGTAATTTACTTTCAATTAGGCAGCTGGATTCCCAATTATTGGCTGTAGTAGATACTGGCTAGCAAACAGCATTTCTAATTGGCTTGATCTTACCGGACCATCCTATGTCGTTGACACGGCCTGCAGTTCAAGCCATCAAGCTATTGTAGAAGCTTATAGAATGATACGAAGTGGAGAATGCGACGCAGCTATCGTGGGTAGTGCCAACCTGTGTTTTCATCCCAACTTAACGTTTCAGCAATTTCAGCTCGGTAAGTATTTGTACTTAAAGATAGAATTGTTATATATAAAGAGATTTTTCGTTTACGTGCAAACGCTGTAATGACAATAACTTAATGAGGAACGCTTTATTGTCAATCGATTAAACAATTTTAGGAATCCTCTCCCCTGATGGTTATTGCAAACCGTTCGATGAGAGCGGTTCCGGTTATATGCGCAGTGAAGCAACCGTAGTAATATACTTACAAAAAGCAAAGAACGCAAAACGAATCTACGCTACCTTAGTCTATTCTAAAACCAATTGCGATGGTTGGAAACCAGAAGGAATTGTGCATCCTTCATTGAGCATGCAAAAAAAATTATTAGAAGACTTTTATGATGAGTGTGGCATCACACCCGAAGAGCTGTCTTACATCGAAGCTCACGGCACTGGTACTTTAGCAGGAGATCTGGTAGAAATTAACGCCATCGATCAAGCTCTATGTTCAAAGAGGAGTACTCCTTTATTAGTGGGTTCGGTGAAATCGCGTTTCGGGCATACTGAAGCTGCCGCTGGTCTCTGTCAAGTGGCGAAAGTACGTAAATATATATATTTCAATGTTTTCTCTAGCGAAAACGCAAGATTGTGTTCACAAAAGACATCCCACATTGGTTAATGCAATATCGATATATTTTTTGACATGTTTTGGTACCTCATTATTTCGGAAACTGGACATTTACAGGTTCCTAAAATCGCTCTATTGGTGAGCTGCAAAGTGTAAGGTTGAGGAATCTACTGATATGGCTAGTCTAAAATTGGGAAAAATATAAAATCCTCTGAAAAAGAAGGGTATGTAAATACGGGGGTTTGGCAACCGTAGAGGGATCGAATAAATTTAACATTTTTCTATGTAATTTGATCCGTAGAATCCGAAAATGGTCATAAAATTCGCATCGGAAGCGGGGAAATTCTTTAATTTTATACATATACGTTAAGATAAAGGCAGTATTGCCGATTTATGCGTTTCTGGGTCTCATTAGGAGAATTAATTAGTCTGAAAAACGTTTGCATAAGTAAACAAGCCTTAATAACAAGATGAGAGGCAGATTCAGCTACTTAATGCAAGATAAGGGAAGATCTAACCGGTTAAGGCAAGATCGCAGGCAGATCCAGCCCACTAAGACAAGATGAAATCTTCGCCATTCTCGCACATGTATCGTTGACGAGCATTTGAAAGAAAAATGCGGGATTTGATTTGAAAAACATTCAGCCTGATTGATTTTTTAATATAAATTAATTTTTGATACCTTCTGACAAAGCAAGAAAATATGCATGAATGAGTGGAATATAATGATCTTGAGAAAGACAAAGTAACTACTTCTATTTGTTCTTCATTATTTGTACTCAATCCAGCATGACTTCCCACATAGCACATATTACAGCAATATCACAATAATATTACTTCTCCATTGTAATATTACAACGTAATATACCATAATATAAAAGGTGTCCCAAAATTCATGCAAGAAGTAATTTTGATAGAAACACAGGTTTATAATTAAAAATTATACATTTTTTATTGGTTCATAAAGTATACAGTATAGGAATACGTATGGAATAGCATATCGAGTAAACGGCCATAGCGAAGAGAGTTCGTTGAATGGATTATAGAACAACAACAAGTGGATGCTGATTTTTCGAACAAAATCATCTTCAGCGATGAGGTTCATTTTCATCTTGATGGCTTGATTAATCGACAAAATTGTCGCATTTGGGGTTCAGAAAATCCACGAGTGATTGTTGAGAAACAAATGCATCCACAACGTGTCACTGTTTGGTGCGGATTTTGGGCTGGAGGCATCATCGGACCATTCTTCTTTGAAAATGCGGCTGGTCAGGAAATAACAGTTAATGGTGCTCGCTATTGCGACATGATAAATCAGTTTTTTTTGCCTAAATTGCAAGATATGGATGTAGACGACATGTGGTTTCAACAAGATGGTGCCACATACCATACAGCCCGAGAAACAATTTAATTACTGCATGAATCATTTCTTGGTCGTGTAATTTCCCGTTTTGGTGATCAGATTTGGCCGCCCAGATCATGCGATTTAACGTCGTTGGACTTTTTTCTTTGGGGTTTTTTGAAGTCTAAGGTTTATACCAACAAGCTCACGATCACCCACGCCTTGAAGGAGGAAATTGAGCGCTGTATCAACGAAATTCAGCCACATTAATGCAAAACGGTCATGGAAAATTTCAACAAAAGAGTGCATATGTGCCAGCAAAGCCGTGAAGGCCATTTACCAGATATGCTGTTCTATTCATAACCCTATACTGTATACTTTATGAATCAATAAAAAATTTACAATTTTTAATTACAAAACTGTGTTTTCTATCAAAATTACTTCTTGCGTGAATTTTTGGATACCCTTTATTAGGTAAATCGGAAAGTTCAGTCCGTTTAGCGACAAGTAGCTATAGCTAGAACTGTCGTTAACTTGTAATGTCTAAGCGAAGCTTAATAGGTTGTTTTGACATCTGTCAATAACATTCAGTACATAAAAGTATACATTTGCATCAATAACATTGTTTCTCACTGCATCGAAAATGTCGAAATTTGATCTAAATAAGCGTCATTTACGTGAAGTATTAATCTTTTGCTTCAATTGGAAGAAAACTGCAGCTGAAGCTCATCGAATGCTTGTAGAAGTTTATGGTGATAATGCTCCTTCCGATAAAACATGCATAGAATGGTTTCGACGCTTTAAAATTGGTGATTTTGATGTAGAGGACAAAGAGCGTCCTGGACGGCCAAGAGTATTCGAAGACTTGCAGACTTGAAGACTTGAAGACTTTCGAAGAATTGCAGACATTGGTAGACGAAGACCCATGTCAAATGCAAAAGCAACTTGCAGAAGCATTAAATTGTGTTCAATCTGTCATTTCCGATCGTTTAAAAGCTTTAGGAAAGGTTTACAAGGAAGAGAAATGGGTCCCATATGAACTGAAGCCAAGAGACATTGAAAGGCGAAGAACCATCTGCGAAATTCTACTTGCTAGGCAACAAAGAAAGGGGTTTTTATATCGTATCATCACTGGGGATAAAAAATGGATTTATTTTGACAACCTGTAAGATCGAAAAACTATTTGCGATCCCGGCCAACCCTCAACATCGACGCCAAAGTGGAATATCCATGGAAAGAAAGCAATGTTCTGTATTTGGTGGGATCGGAAGGGTGTGCTGTACCATGAGCTGTTGAAAAGTGGTCAAACAGTCACAGGGGATCTCTACAGAGAATAAATGATCCGTTTGAGCCGAGCATTGCACAAAAAACGATGAGAATATGAAACGAGACAGCATAAAGTGATTTTGCTTGATGACAACGCTCGGCTTCACGTCACAAAATCTGTCAAGGAATCGTTAGAAGCACTTCGCTGGGAAGTGTTACCCCATGCGGCTTATTCATCAGACTGTGCCTCTTCCGACTACCACTTGTTCGGTCGATGCACACGCACTTGCTGAGAAATGCTTCAATTCTTATGAAAACGTCAAAAAATGTCTCTGACTGGATAGCCTCCTAAGATGAATCATTCTTTCGCCGCCGAATTCGCTTGCTGACCGAAAGATGGGAAAAAATCATCGCTAATGATGGACAACATTTTGATTGATGTACTTTTTCATTTTGTTTCTTAAATAAAGCCATACGTTTTGCAAGAAAATGGACGGAACTTTTCGATTGACCTAATAAATAATCAAAATGAGCAAAGAGCATTTGATTCGGGCATGCAATCGTTTCCGACCCCGGATTGTGTCCGTTATTGCCTCTAATAGGGATTTTATTGAATAATTGTATAGTCCAGGAGTCAATTAATGTCGTGTAAAAATTTCATGGAATTATAATAAATTTTGCAAAAAATATGAACAAATTAGTTTTAATGTCAATTTGTCCTCAAATACCGTACGCACCCTGTATGTAAAAGCGTAAATCTATATGCATATTTCAATGGTTATTAAGGCTTGTTTGCTTGTACAAAGGTTATTCATACTGATTAATTCTCCTAATAAGACCCAAAAATGTGTAAACCGGCAATATTGCCTTTGTATTAAAGTATATTAAAATTGAAGGATTTCCCCGTTTCCGGTGCGAATTTTATGACCATTTCCTGGTTCTGCGGATCAAAATACATAAGAAAATGTTAAATTTACTCGATCCTTCGACAGTTGCCAAGCCGCCATTTTTATACATCTTTCTTTTGAAATGTTCTCTCATAACATCGAGATCACAGTGATTACAATGAGATCATAGAAATCAGTGATGTGCAAATATACGCTTTGTCACAAATATGGTGTCACGTGAAAATCACACTAATAAAGTGTGACCAAAGTGACAACTTAAACATCATCGTGATTTTTGTGATGTTCTTATGACATCATATTTGCGACAATGCAGACATTCACACATTACAATAATAATAATTTCGGTATGATCTCATTGTTATCATTGTGACCTTGATATAAGGGTTGCATTTAAATCCAATTGAGGTCGTTCTTTTTTAAGGCGAAGATGAAAAATGAAAATTCGGACAGACAGTTTCTCAGACTATTAAATATAATAAAAAGTAAAGTTGACCTTCATATGTTATATAGTCATATTTACTATTATAAATTATACAGGGTGGGGGGTCATAAGTTTACAACTCGAAGTGTGAAGGTAGATTGGCTCAAGACAAACATAAAAGTCCCATATCGTTTTGCGAAATTCGCAATAATTATCGAATTATTAACGATAGAAATCTGAGGAGTGGGAGCGTACCGACATAGATGATAGAGAAACGTTGCAGCTATTTCGACAAGAGCGCATCTTAGTCGATTTAGCAACTGTTGCCGGTGCTCGATGAGGATAAAGGCCGGTCTAGAATAGGTTGCAAACACTCAGTTGCGAGTTGCGAAGGATGGCAACTACTAGTTACAAAGTATTGTTTTCGATTGTAAGAGATAGTTGCGATTGCCGGTTGTCGTCACCAAGGAGTTAAAAGTTGGGCAACTCTCTTTTAGCAACCGCAATTGTCTCTTACAACCGAAAATAACCCTTTGTAACTAGTAGTTGCTATCCTTCGCAACTCGTAACTGGGTGTTTGCAACTGTTACGTCATGCTGACTCAGCGAACCTCAAAACTCTTATATAAATAAGAGAAATCGAATTTATTTTTACTGATTACACGTCTAAATGCACTCAGGCATGTTACCACACGACCTACCTCACAAGTTATCACACGAACTATTTCTGGAAATTTTGATATTTTTGATACCCCGAAAATACTAATAATCTTAACCTAATCCCTATTTGATTTCCTACGAACTTAATCACTGATATCAGCATCATGACATCGTTCTTATAAATATCGATATTTACTTCTTAAAATAGCTGCCACGATTTTTTTATTTACAAAAGTCTTTCGAAATCCTCTTATTGCCACATGCATGCACACTTCGGGTTGGCAGCTAACTACCGAGCATCTTATCTCCTATAAAATAATCATCTGGAACATTCCCCTAAAAGCCCCACTCTCTCAACCGAGGTGACTTTTTGA